CTGAAAAATTTGTTTGGACCCTTTTACATTTTGGCAATAGTCAAGAAGCCAGTAACTATCCTGCATATGTTAGTCTATGCAAAAGTATATTTCAGTTGTACAAAATAAAAATAAAGAACATATTTGTAAAGGAAATCCATAGGTATATAAATACTTTTAATAAGTCAATTTTTATTTAATATTTATGATTTGTGAATGTTTTCCCCCCTATTGCCACATTTGATACCTACAAGCTGGTATAGGTGTTAGGGAAGCTTTTTGTGTTACAGTATATCATGTTTGCCATTTCATCCTGATCTATATAGGCTCATGTACTGTTTGAAGCTGCTTTGGTTTAGGAAGAAAATACTTTTAGATTTGGCTGTCATCAGCATTTTTATCCTATATTCGTGGCTTTTCTGAAAAGATCAACTTCTTAAACCATGGCCTCTTCGAACAGTGAGAAACTTCATAGCTTGGATTGAAGCAATCTGTTTATAGAAAGCATCAACAGACAACAGAGCCGTTGGTGCCAACTTCTGGTAGATACACCGTTGCTGATCTGCCAGATGCTTTTGACTGGTATTCCAAGATACTTTAAACATGAACTTCTTCCCCAGTGCTCCCTTTCTACTGGGCAGAAATAGGGGTTTGTAGCAGTCCATTATTTGATGGAAAATTACAGAATCCATACAAATGAATGAGAAGCAGGAGATACTGTTGGTTTAGCTAAGGTTTTAGTGTTCCATCTAAAGCCCCTTGAAGTCAATGAAAATGCTCGTATTTAGTTTCTTTCTGGGTGATATGTATTTGACAAAATGTAACAGGGCTCAATAGGTCCAAACCATGTGATTGTAAAGTTTGATATGCACATCTTGGAAATAATCTGCTTCCAGTATCCACATGTAATAAACTAAAAGGGTATATCCTGGTCTGACACTGGACAACTCAAGTAGATAGTATTCTGTACTACCACATGCAAGACTTGGGTTTAGTTACTCCTCTCCTGATCTCCATCCTAGCAGATTAGGGCATGTCCTTCAGGGTGATGTGCTCACCTTAATTGAATGGTATACTTGATTTTGCTTTCTGGCCATGATCTTGTTTAATCTTGACAGACTCCAAATGGAGTTTCTGTCTAGTCCTCAACAAGCAGAATTATAATCTCAAATGGGGAAGGACAGTTAAAAGCTTTTTACCAAGTATGACAATTAAATGCTCAAGTTGAATGTGTACAATATAACACGGAAGAACATTGTATTAAAATGGAACATATGATTGGTTCTGAAATAAAAATTCAAATGTTTCTTTGAGTTCCAAGTTGTGTTCTCCAGATGAAAACTATTTAGAAATTTGGGATGAAGCATTTGATAAATTTAGCTAGGTTTTATCTTTAGCTGCCAACAATATAGAAAGTAATTATCACAAAGGATAGAAGACTTTAGAATATGTCTAGTATCCAAATAACAAAGAACAGGACTGAAGTGTAACAAATGTTGCATCTGTCTTTAAAAAAGATGTTAGGGGTGACTTTGGGAATTACAGACCAGACTTCTCTATCAGGAAAATTGGTTGAAACAACATTTAAAAATGGAATTATAAAACATAAATGAACACGATATGATAAGGACAAACCAGCATTACATTTGTAAAGGAAAATGTTACCTCTCTAATCTACTAGAATTCTATAACCATGTCAACAAAATAGTGAGCAAAGGAAAACAAGGTAGCATTCATTTGGCCTTTCAAAGAGCCTTTAATAAAGTTCCTCAGAAGATGCTTTGAAGGAACTAAATAGTTATATGGTGAGAGGTAAAATATTGTCCTAAATAAATGGTCAGTTTTCAAAATGGCAGAAAGTTAAGAGTGGGATGCCACAAGGTAGTGGTCAAGAAAGCAAACAAAATAATGAATAGGAATGAAAATAATTCTGGAAATATCATACTGTTGTTACATACATGGATATTATTCCCTGACCTGAAATACTATGATCAGTCCGCTCACCTTGTTTCAAAAAAGAATTTATCAGGAATACAAGGTGTTTAGAGATGAGCAACAGAAAAGGATTAGCAGCCTGGAGAGACTGACATATGAAGAAAGATTAAAAGACTGTGACTGCTTAGTTTCCAGAGAAGATAAATAAGAGAGGTCATGCTAAATGACTACAAAATAATAAATTGTATTAAGGGTAAATAAGATGCTCCTGTTGACCCTTTCTCACCCTACAGGGACAAAGAGTCATTGAATTAATGTGAATGGCATCACATTTTAAATTGGTAATTTCATAGATTCTAGGACTGGAAGGGACCTCGAGAGGTCATCGAGTCCAGTCCCCTGCCCGCATGGCAGGACCAAATACTGTCTAGGCCATCCCTGATAGGCATTTATCTAACCTACTCTTAAATATCTCCAGAGATGGAGATTCCACAACCTCCCTAGGCAATTTATTCCAGTGTTTAACCACCCTGACAGTTAGGAACTTTTTCCTAATGTCCAACCTAGACCTCCCTTGCTGCAGTTTAAGCCCATTGCTTCTTGTTCTATCCTCAGAGGCTAAGGTGAACAAGTTTTCTCCCTCCTCCTTATGACACCCTTTTAGATACCTGAAAACTGCTATCATGTCCCCTCTCAGTCTTCTCTTTTCCAAACTAAACAAACCCAATTCTTTCAGCCTTGCTTCATAGGTCATGTTCTCAAGACCTTTAATCATTCTTGTTGCTCTTCTCTGGACCCTTTCCAATTTCTCCACATCTTTCTTGAAATGCGGTGCCCAGAACTGGACACAATACTCCAGTTGAGGCCTAACCAGAGCAGAGTAGAGCGGAAGAATGACTTCTCGTGTCTTGCTCACAACACACCTGTTAATACATCCCAGAATCATGTTTGCTTTTTTTGCAAGAGCATCACACTGTTGACTCATATTTAGCTTGTGGTCCACTATTTATTAATATATAATTGTGTAGAACTCTTTGCCACAAGGTATCATTGAGGGCCAGAGGTTAGTAGGGTTCAAAAAGAGATTGGACGTTCATTTGGATAATGCAAAATGTACAGTTACATCAGCTGCAAGAGTTTCCCAGTCTGGCTCTACGATTGAGAAGCTGCAGAGACTATAAGTCGTCTTATATTTTAATAGAACAGCGAACTATATAAAAATGTTATAGCCAGTCAAAAAATCAGCAATATGCACTGCATGGATTTTGTTCAAAATTTAAATGAAGACTTTTTTAAAATTAGAAGTCAGTTTTTCCATTGTTGTATTCCATTTCATTTTAATTATTTTGAGATGACATACTTTCACCACTCTTAGCCCAGCAGGCATCTGGAGGACCTCTGAGGGCTGTGATTTGCACTACAGCATGTGCTGCTTTGCGGCAACTCATTAGTCCACAGTTAGGAGTGGTTTTGCTGAGCTCTGGAAAGATAATCAGGCCTCGTGCTGTCCCTGTGAGAATGGACAAATATAGGGGTTCTTCAAGAATCTAAGAAATAATGGGATGAAAGTCAGAAGGAGAATAGAGAATTTGTTTTCAACCATATCAGAGTGAATTTTTAGAAAACTCTTCAAGTAAACAAACTAGAGGTGGTAATATAACAAGTTAGGATTCCCGGCCAAATAGTCTGTGTTTAACCCAGTATGATATTCAGGGTTTTTATCTTTTTTACGTTGTTTTACTGTTAACTGTGTGAAATATTTCTTTAAAATGTTATTGTTTTATGTAGTTACAAGCTATATAATGAGCATATTGCATGTTCAGGCATGTCTCATTTAATTACTATTTTACATTGGCTAAATATTAATTAGTGTTGTGGTTTTTAGTCTAATTTGAATCATACTGTTTGTCATACAGCATGAATGGTATAAGAGAACCAAATAAGTTGTTCTACTAAAAATACTTAAAATTTTTATGTAAATATTCATATATTTGTTTTTAATGGTAAAACTTGAAAGGGCCTTCAGTGCTTTAACTGCTCTATTCTCTGTAGAGTGGCGGATCAGATTTAATTAGATACTTCAGTGTCTGCAGTGATTTTTTTATGCTCTTGTGTCTGCAGCCTTTGAAAAGACCACAAAGAGATTAAGGTTTCAGGTGCTGTCTCATCAGTTTTGAACATGTTACACAACAGAATGCCCTAATGCTTTTAATAATGTAATTTAGTGATTTTAATCCCTATCTAGATATTAGAGAAAAGATGGTGGGGTTTAAAGCTGTAGCTTTTTCTATTATTGCAATTCAGCACCAGCTGCTTCAATAATAGGCACCTACAAATTGAGATATTTATGGTGTCAAAATCATTGAATTTCAGCTTAGGACTTCCTTCCAACTGTGATAAACTTCACAGTGGGCACTACCTAAATATTAATACCAGCTCAGATTTGCTTCCTGTTTACTGAGCTTTCATAATTCAAGTTGCATGTATTTAAATTTTAAAGACATTTTGCCATTCTAACAGCTTCCTTTCCATATTTGAATGTTGCTGACTATAGAAAAGTCCACTCACCTGAAACTGTTTTTGTTTATCATTATGCGCCATCTTTTTATCCATAAAATTGTGTTATATCTGTTAATGCAATGGATAATATGAAAAAAAAAGCAAAGAAAAATTAGGATTAAAATATAACCTTCTTTTCCACAAAGATTTCACAGGTTCTTCCTTTTTTAAATAGTTTTGTTAAACAGAAGTGGAAGATCTCTGATTACTTTTTAACCTATTTAATTTAACAAATGGTGACTCGTATCATTTATTGAAACAAGATTAAGGAAGACAAAAACTGTTCAATATATTATAACAAAATGTCTGCTCAAAGTTAAGTACAAGAAAAAATATTATAAAAATTCTTCCTTAAACATCTCTTGTCCACAGAAATATAAATAATGCAAGTATGATTTTGTGCAAATAGGAAAGATTGTTTTTCTTATAAGGTTATTGTATGAGAAACAGAAATTCTGAAAATTTTAAGTATCATGCAGCTGTTCTGTACATATGCAAGGTAACACGCTATGCTTTCTCTCTGCCAGGAGTTAATTCCAGAGTTTTACTACCTACCAGAGATGTTTGTCAACAGTAACGGATATAATCTAGGTGTCAGAGAGGATGAAGTTGTTGTAAATGATGTTGAGCTTCCCCCTTGGGCAAAGAAGCCTGAAGACTTTGTCCGGATCAACAGGATGGTAAGAGGGATTTTAGTTAAGCTTTAGTAACAAGTTCAGTGTTTTAACAAGCTAACATATCGTTGACTTTTCACCTCCGCAGAATTAGGGTTAAAATGCAAAAAGAAAAAGTCAGGGAGGAGTTTCCATTCAGCTCTTATTTAATAGGACTCTTTATTGTACAATGATTTTTCTTTAATGAGGACCAATAATGGAATTGTAAATTCAGTTATTTGCTCCCTCAGGAGAAAGCAATTTGATGGGCCTCAGTTGGACAATGTAAAATATCCTGAAGAGTTAAGAGCCCAGTCCTGCAAAATACTGAACATTTGCTGCAAATAAACACAAAGGGAGTTTGCAGGAAGTACTCAGCTCCTTGCATGATTGGACGCTGCTCAGTTTCCATTCAAAAGGAATTAATTGTTTATGCAGGAATACTGAGCTACTATGCCAAGTGCTATATTTTCTGAACGGGTTTTGCAAAAGTACCCTTCCAACACAAATCACTACCAAGTGTGCAGAATTGTAGCTATGAAATACCTTAATCTATAATGTATACTTTTTTTGCATAAATAAAGTATTTTTCAATAAATTAACATACTTTCAATGGAAAAGATATAGGGGTTTTAAGAGGAGACTGTTTATTCTCCTCTGTTTTCAGCCATGGTATTTCACCTTCTGGGTGTCTGTCAAATTATGTTGGTGACAAAGTGGCTTGATTAGTAGTATTGATATGTGTATTTATGCTTTTTCATGCAATAATAATAGAATTTTAGTGGTGCATATTCAGTAGTGTTTTCCATTACCTAGATCTGTGTTTTCTCTGCATACATGATCAACACTAGTTTATATTTTGCAAGGCTGTTCATAATAAACCGAGCCTTCGAAACGTAGTCTGACCTTTGACACACATTTTCTCCTAGAATTAAAATCTATGTTAAGTAAAATTATTTATATTTATTTCATCTGCCTATATTAGCAGGTTTTCTTACATATGTTACTATTTGTTAATGATAAAATTAATCATAAGATATATATTTTAACATTTTTTTAAAAAGGAAGGTATTTCATACACTATATCACAGTTCTCAACAACTTAATTCCTGACTATTTTCCTGAAATGGATTTGAATCAAAATACCCACTACTTACCTGTGCCTACAGATTCCCTCAATATATGCGTACCCAAGAGGTGTATAGATCTATCTGCTTGGAGACCATTGCCTAAAACACCTTTTAGCAGGAATGCCACTCCATCAGCTTATTGACGTTACCAATGTTGCAATTTAATTCCTAGAAATATATCTTTTAGGGAACAGTGCTTCTGGGATTCACATAAAAACAGCCCTCTAAAGTTCAAAAGAATAACTGAATATTAAAACACCTACCCTATCTTATTACAAAACACTAGACACATATGAAAGAGGACAGTCCTGCACTGTTAGGGAGACACTAAGTGGTATTTTCCTTCTAAAGTATCTGACTGTGAATTTTTTGTTTTATAGACATAGTTATTTTAACATTCTTTATAAAAGTTAATAGTTACCACAGACAATGGCAATATATGGGAACCCAATCTTAATCTCATCAAAGTCAAGAAGAGTTGAACTAATGACTTCAATGAGAGTAGCAGCAGCTCCGTTTTCTTTGATTCCTTACTGAAAGAAAATAAACAAACCGCCACCTTTTGGAGAAAATAATTAAACACACGCATTATTCAATTCCTACATGAAATTTTAGAAATAATTTTTATTCTTTTATATTAAAATCTGTCTCTCATTTTGTATGTTTAAAGGTGTAAAATTTTAAATGGGGACAAAGACAATATGTGATGAGAAACAGATTGAATGTATGCATGATGTGCTAAACTGTGATTTCTATGCTGCCATTTTGTTTCTGCTTTTGGAAAATTACCTTAAGGGTGCTCTCTGTAGAGGTTTTGTGCTGGGATATTAATGGTTGTTGGAGAAAACAGCTGTTTGCATGAATTTAAAGTATGGTATTTATGCCATTTACAATGCTATGCATTTAATAAAGGATTGGAGCTAAAAGTTGGAAACACCTTCCAAATGTTAGGCTTGCCGAGGAAAAAAATGAACTCTGTACATCCATAGGTATGCTCAGACTACTAGATAGGCTAATTTTAGGATTTATGGATTAGTTGAATTAGGGACTTAAATTGATTGAATACTTATCAGACTCTTAAATCCAAGAGTTATCCAATTCACATATGATCCTAACTTACCTGTCTCCCCTGACTTTAGCATCCTACTGTTTTTATCCAATTCTTGATGGGAGATATTTTCTGGATGACCTTTATTCATCCCAACATCTATTCCACTGTGAGTGGTTTAATAGCTGTTAAAGATTAAGTCCAGTCCTCCACAAATCCATACAGTTTTTCAGATAGGCCTTCCTCGTCCTTATTTGGCAATAGCATGGCAGGAAATAGTCTTGGCTTGCCAATGCTAATGGAGAAGAATCTTTAGTCAGCCTGGGTTTCTCAAGCCCCAACATATACAGTTTAGTGAACCAGAAGTAGCAGGACAGCATATTAATGAAATTTACAAATAATACTAAATTGGGAGATGTAAGAAAAGAATAAAAAGGGGGATAGAGAAGTTTGAATAATGGGCAGAAAATACATTTGACATTCATCTTGAAAGGGATAAACAGATATTCAACGGGAAGAAAAAATCTGGTAAGCAGTAATGCCAAAAGGGAGTTGGGGGTGATAATGAACAGCAAATTTGATATGCAATTCCATTCGGCACCAAAAAAGGCAAGTGCAATTTTGAGCCCTGTCTATGGAATCATTACAAATAGAGCACATAGATAGTCCCTTTATATGACTCTGGTGAGACTGCACCTGGAATATGGCATTCATTTCTGGGCAACTAAAAGGCAGAAGGATATTGACAAATTAGAGCGAGTTCAGAGAAGAGAAACAACGTGAATGAGGGTGGGACTATTTAAAGAGAATGAGGAGATTTTTTTTTTTAAAAGCTAAATGTGTGTAGTGGGCTAGCTAATAGTTAAGGCAGGGAAAACATCTGCAAAAATGGTATAAACACCAAGGAATTTGAAATAATAGGATTGAGCTTAGAAAGGAAAAAAGCAGATGGATTTATCAGAAAAACTTGATATTGAAATCTATTAGACTATGAAATAGATTTCTAATGCCCCTATCACTTCGCACTTATAAAACTGGATTAGACAGTGTACAAGAAAATGTACTGTAGAAAACATTTCTGAACTGTGAAGGAATGGAAGGAGACCCATCTTTATTGTCTGATTCTACATGTATTTGGATTGTTCAGCAGATTTATTATTCAAATTGCCCATCTCTAGCCCAAAACTTTGGCTTGTCTTACAAAAATCTGTCTAAAGAAAAATATAGCATGAGGGTGGCACCGATATCTCTGGTGAGTTTGCCCCAAGAGCTGGAATTTGTTCAGCAGGCTTAGCAAAATTGTTACTGTACATATTTACAGGGAAGCCACAGAAATCTGGAGGCTATTTCAAGACACTATGATCCTGATCCAGAGCCCATTGAAGTCAATGGGGAGTCTTTCCATTATGTTGGATTGATCCTTATGTGATACCACAAACCATAGTGTGGGTATTCAGTATTTTCTAGCTGACAGCATTATAGATATTCATATACATTTTGCTCACCATAGCCATATATAAATTATAATTCTATTATGTGGACAGAAACACTTATTTACAACTTGCTTATGCATTCATTTGTTTATTTCTATTAAAATAAATAGAAATAAACAAATCAACTATTTCAGCATTACACACAGAATTTGACTTAGAGAGATGGCTCCCATTTAATCTATTGGTTAATAGGCTTTTTAGAATTGGGAAATGAGGGGTTTTTGTAGGGTTTTTCATATTTACTAAATATGTGCACAGTGGTGGAAATGGCTTTCCATTGAAAGAAATGCCATGAAACTTGTGAAAATTGGTCTAATTAGAAAGCTTGGAAAAGTGATTGTCAGGTTACTTTTAAGAGCTGTTGTGGTACATTCTAAAAGCACTCGATTTATACATCAGGGATTGTTGTACCAGTTTAATTTATCCATACATAGCTAGACTGATTACTACTGACTTACTCATGAAACATTAATAAAGCATTGTGTTCAATGCTAACATGATTATGGTCTGACCTCAGTGATGTCACAGAGGACAGAAGCAGTAAGTGTCCCTGATAACATTACCCTAATGGTGGGTTCATCAATCATAATCTACCATTAAAAAAAAAAAAAAAAAAACTTCCACAGATGTGCATCTGTAGTCTTACTCAGCCTCTCAATCCCAGCAGACTTCTGGGGGTTCTGAGAGCCAGAAATAGAACATATTCAGCCAGTAAGTCAGGCATGTTAAATTGAGGCAAAGAACTCTACTGTGAAACAGTGAAGCAAAGCATTTCATAGTTTAAAAACAAAAGATGTGATCTGCTGTAATTTACATTAATTATAATGATATTTTGATGGTTGAACATGTATGTATTATATTACAAATTATAAATAGTCTTGCATAAAATGCACTTTCTATAAATGACATTTTTAGAAAGACCACTCGGTTTCTGGTTTTTGTAATTCATATTTTGATACTGTTCTATGTTTGTTATTAAGGATGAATCCTTTCTGTAGAATGATTTATATACACAATTTTTGGCCTATATTTACATTTATGAATCATTTCATGACTACTCAGAAGCTTGGGAACTATTTCATGGTTAACAAACATTTAATATATAAATTGAAACCTTGGTGCACTAGGGTTTTGGTAGGTAGGGTGATTCAGTGCCTATTTTTCATCTATTGATAGGAGTTGACAATATTTTGAACTGAGTAAATAGAACATGAACAAATTTCATTTTGCTGTGTTGGTAATTTTTTATATTATTTTGTATTATTGTCAGGATTCTTATTTAACACAAAATAATCACATCAGAGTTATTTAAATCTAAATATGACAGTTGCAGTTGCACACAATTATTATTGAAAA